CTAAAAATACCCTTCTCTATGCCTTAATCAAGAAATCCCACCTGTCAGTTCCTCTAATATAGTATTTTGAAACAGATATTTCTCTCTTATTGCTCATTCTAAATCCATCATTGCCTGCCTGATGGGTCTCAATGGCTTAATCTATCAGTTAGTATAGGTTAGATTATGCAGCAGTAACAAATGATCCCTCAAATCTCTGTGACTTACAACAAAGTTTTATTCTTGCCTTACAATATGTCCACTGATTTTTTTCAGTTACAGCTATTGACACAGTCTTTATCTGGAATATTGTTGGTCATCTAGGCAAAGGGACAGAGAGCATAAAAGCTTCAGCTGTAACTGACACATTAGTTTTGCTCACATTTCACTGACCAAAATTAGTCACATAGCCATGCTTAAGTTCACTACAGCAAACAAATGAAATCTATCTACAAGGCAAATCACTGCATACCTATGAAGAGTTATCAGTCTACTATATACACACAGAGATGTGTGCGGGCAATGGAAAGGTCATATCACAAGTCATATAGAGGCATTTACTTGAAGGAAGTAAACCAAAACAAAAAGGAAGAAACAGAACAGGCGACTCCCAGTGTCAGTGGAATCAAATGGCTTGGCCCAGTGCTGCTTTTATTCTTCTACTGAGAGGTACACAAGGGTCAACTTCCTGGGGCACTTCAGGCAGCCCCTGGACTGATCTTTTCCCTAAGTTCAGATAGAGACTCTGGAGGCTGCTGGCTCCCCAGTCTTTCTCTGGCATAGTACATCAGTGCACAGATGTGTCCCTGTGCCTGAATCACAATGCCCCACATCATCCTCTCAAGAACCTGAAGCCTCAGATAAGATCCCTTTCAGGATCAGGCCTCTCTTTAGAAAAGAGAAGTAGTCAAGGATGTTTGTCCAGAAAACACTCTAACTTAACATTTTGTTCTTGGTCATTTCATTTTGGCTTCTTTCTCTAACTCAATAAGTTTTCGAAAAGCTCATCCTAAGTCAGTGATGGCGAACCTTTTGAGCTCGGCGTGTCAGCATTTTGAAAAACCCTAACTTAACTCTGGTGCCGCGTCACATATAGAAAGTTTTTGATATTTGCAACCATAGTAAAACAAAGATTTCTGATATTTATTTTATATATTTAAATGCCATTTAACAAAGAAAAATCAACCAAAAAATATGAGTTCGCGTGTCACCTCTGACACGCGTGTCATAGGTTCGCCATCACTGTCCTAAGTCCTTCACATCTTTGCCACCGACCATCCCACTATGTGTCTGGAGGTCTCATCTCTCTTGTGACGTGATCACCAAGTTTTATTTACCATCACTGTGGTAATCTTTAGTGCTGCTCACTGATACCTGGTTCTCTTCTCTTTCTGGAAGCCTGATAGGATGCACTTCCTGGCTCCCCTGAGCCTGGTTCTGTGGTAGTTTGACATGAATTGTGAGTAGAGCTGATGTTTGTCACTGTTGGCTTGAGAATGTGTTACTGTGAGATGTTCTTTTCCTCTCGAAAAAGCCATCCATATTTTAGGATTATATTAATTGTTGCACAGTCTAGACTATGTTGACTAAAACTATCATTCCTTTTCAGGTATTTAAAATACATGACTCAGACACATAATAATCTTTGATATGTCTTTAAACGCAATGGGTAGACAATGCTCCATAACTTTTAAGGGACAGATAGTCCCAACACTCTTATCTTTCTAAGTCACATTTAAATTAGCTCAAGCATCCAGATGCCATTTAGATGGAAATTCAGAATAAATCTACTGGGTGTTTCCCGCATAGCCTACTTTGATTTTTTGCATACCTTTTGTATCACAGTTACATAGAGTATATGTTGAAAACAGACTCACATGGTACTCCTCAAATCAGAACCTCTGGAAGTAGGACTCAATATGCCCCCAAATCACTTTATGACCCCTCATTCCTTACTGTCCGCCTGCAGTGGAGGCGGGAGAGGCTCCCACCACTGCCGATGCACTCACCAGCCATGAGCCCACTCCCCTGAAACTGACCACCAGGGGGTAGCTCCTGCGTTGAGCCGTCTTCCCCCTGGTGCTCAGTGCGCGTTATAGCGACCAGTTGTTCCGCAGCTGGGTCGATTTGCATATTAGCTTTTTATTATATAGGATAGTCACCATTTTGTATGTTACATCCCCATGACTTATTTATTTTATAACTATGTAAGTTTGTATAGTTCACCCACCACCCAACTCTGGCAATCATCACTCTGTGTTCTGTACCTATGAGATTTTATTTTTACTTTTTCAAGTTTATTGGAGTAACTTTGATTTATAACATTATACAAATTTCAGATGTACAACCTTATCATTTGACACCTAAATATACTCTATTGTGTGCTATAATTGAAGAATTATAGTCTCCTTCCATCACCATACATCTGACCGCCTTTACTCTCTTCATCCTCCCTGAGAGAGCCTAGTAAGCCAGGACAGGTGGAAGAGGGAAAATGAGACTACTTTACTATTTTATTTTTTTAGATTCCACATATAATAAGATCCCATGATATTTGTGTGGGTTTTTTTTTTTTTCGGTCTGACTTATTTCACTTAGCATAAAGCCATCAAGGTCCATCCAGGTTGTTGCAGATGTCAAGATTCCATTCTTTTTATGGCTAAATAATATTCCATTGTATATATATATACCACATGATGGTGGACAGAGGGAGCAACCTGCAGGCAATCCATGATTTTCCTTAAAAAACAATTTTTAAAAATAAATAAAAAAAATTAGGTTTTCAAGTCCGTAAAGTTCTATCCGACAGAGCAGAGGGTCTGCAAACTCACAGACACATCATTTATTAATTTTTTTTTACAAAGTTCATGTTAGTTACCTACATTTAGAGCAATGGTTCTCAACCTTGGCTGCACATTAGAATCACCTGGGAATCTTTTTAAAATCCTGATTTCTGGGCCTCATCCTCCGGAAATTCTGTTTCTTTGACAACATTAATAACAAAGAAACAGAATTTCTGGAGGATGAGGCCCAGAAATGAGGATTCTAAAAAGATTCCCAGGTGATTCTAATGTGCAGCCAAGGTTGAGAACCACTGATTTAGAGATAACTAACGTGATAAATATTCAAATCTGGCAACCCCAGATGCTCATACTACCACATGAAAGCAATCTGCTGGGCTGTAGAGCAGTTACCCTCCCATGTGCTGGATCAGGGCCAGAACAGAGTTGCTTTCTGCAAACTCCCCTTGAAGACTTTTGAAATAAATCACCACCCCTCCTTGCCTCCTGCTTTGTGCTGGTTCCTGGAACAGGTTGTTGTCCTGACCTGGTCAAGGATGTACTTTCCCAAATCTGACAGCACTCAGGTATGAGTACCTGTGACAATTCCCAGTGCTGCTGGGATCCACTTTGTCTTTCGGCCTCCCAAGACATCCAATGTATGTAAACTTCCCTTAATAAATTCTATTGATTACCAGATGGAGTGGCCAGCCTCTTTCTTCAGTCATTCCCTGCCCTTTGCTTACAGAGGTAGGCTCTCAGACTTGGGGCTTTTCCCTAGTCTGTATGTACTAACAATAATATATGAGGATTAGATGAGCAAATGTAACAGACCATGGCATGTATAACAAATAAATGTTTCCCCTTGGATCTGGTGGGAAAGTAAATTAGTCTTGCATTCAATTTTTCACATGTTCCCCTTTCCTCCCAAACTAAGTACACTGTTTGGAAGTAGTTGTACATAAATATTCATTGAGATCACAACAAAACCACTTAGAAAGAATGTTAAATGATCAGCACTGGCTTAGGACAACTCCCGCTGTTTTTTATCATCATGGGAATGCCTGGGTAGAGCTATTCCATATTTGAGGCGCAGTGTCTACCTGAGAGAGTTGGTAAATACAATATCTTGGTATCAATTAGGCAAAACTGATCACTCCCTCACCTGTAAAACTTTATACATCCTTCATTTCATTTCATACAGACTTATAATATAGCCTATATACATTGTTACAGTTATAGTTTGTTGAATTTATGCCTTGCTTTGTTTAAAAAAGAGCTGTGGCAATTAGTTACATACTTATGTGTTTATCTTCTTCCCCAAAAGGAGAGTTTCTTGAATAACTGTGTAATATCCATATACTACTCTCACTGTTTGGTGAGGTGATCTGAGTAGGATTTCAAATGTGCTGTTATAAGCAAATGAGTCTAATATAACGTTGAGGGGATTATCTAGGAATTTATGTGAAAATCAGACTCAGCCTGATTCTTCCCGTTGGTAGATGAGAAAAACCAAAGCCTGGGAATAGAATAGTTAAGTGATTTGCCGGAGGTTATCTAGCCAGACTCTGAAACTTGCATCAACCGGTCCAGAGGCCAATCCACCATATCGACCTGCTTTTCAGAACCCAGTAATTTGGTGTCTATCTCTGCTGCCTCACTACAGCTGCTATTGTTAGTTATCAAACACTTTTGTGTTACTAAATCCAGTCACTGCTTTTCGCCCTTGAAATACTTGACCTATTTGTGGTCTCTGCCCAGCGGACCATCTCCATCTTGCAATTCTTTCCTACCGTGGCTTCAGAGGCATTCCCCACCTACTTCTTTTCTCTCTCTGGCCATTCTTCCTCAGACTTTTCTTGGGCTTCTGTTCATTTGCCATCCTTTTTAAGTGTTTCCTGGGCTCTATTGCTGGTTCTCTTTATTGTTTCTTCTATATTTTCTCCCTGATCTATGCCTAGGACTTACATTACCAATAGTAGTTAATGTCTTCCACAACTATTTTATTTTAACTCACTGTCTCACCATTCACAGACCTGTGTAATTCCACTGCCCATTAGATAGTTCCCTCTAGATGTGGAGGTTTCCTCCATCAAGTCACAGTCACACGGCAGTAATCTTGGAGGGAACCTAATTAATTGCACTCTTCTTTTCCAGATAAAGGAGAGTGCAGCCAGCGACAAACGATCATCTTCACCACTGACTGTATTAGTTTCCTATTGTAAAAAAATTACCACAAGCTTAGGGGCTTAAAACACAAATTTATTATCTTACAGTTTTGGAGATCAGTAATCTTGAAATCAAGGCATTGACTGGGCTGTGTTCTTTCTGGGGGTTCTAGGAGAAATTATTTCCTTGCCTTTTCCAGCTTCTAGAGGATGCCTGCATTCCTGGCTCCATCTTCAAAGTCAGCGGTACAGACTGTCCAAATCTCTCTGATCTCTGCTTCCATCATCCTATTTCCTTTTCTGATTATGGCTCTTCTGTCTCCAGCCCAGCCTGATTCCAAGATAATCTCTCCATTTCAAAATCCTTAATTAAATCACAGATGCAAAGTCCCTTTTACCATGTAAGGTTAACATATTCACAGGTTCTAGAAGAGTAGGACATGAACATCTTTGGGGCATTATTCTGTACTAGAGGCCCAGTGCACAAAATTCGTGCACAGGTGGGGTCCCTTAGGGTGGTCTGCGGAGATCGGGCCCTAGCTTGCACCCCCCAGCCCTGCAGCCCCGCCTGGTACCCTGCCTGGGCCTAGCGCTGCCCGTTTGCCAGCCCGCCCCCCCCACCTCTGGTCACTGTGTGCCGGGTGACCGGCAGGTGATCAGGGCCCCCGCTTGCATCTGCCTTGGCCTGGTGCTGCCCACTTGCCGGCCCCACCCCCCCGCTGCTGCCACTGGTCACCGTCTGCGGGGTGATCATTTGGGGCTGGGCCCCCTGCTCAGCTCCCTCAGCTGCTGGTCGCCGTCTACAGGGTGACCGGGCCCTTGCTCGCACCCACCTTGGCCTGCCACCCGTTCACCTGCTCCATCATCCTGCCGTGGTCTGGCTCCTGATGGGCCCATTGGGGCCAGCAGTTTCTACTGCCGCGTCGCCAATGCCCACCATGTTCCGTGCCGCCCCCTGGTGGTAAGCACATGTCATAGCGAGCAGTCAAACTCCTGGTGGGTTGAATTCCTGCCCAAGGGGACAATTTGCATATTAGGGTTTTATTATATAGGATACTACAACTGAAAAAGTATTGTATATTATCTGTAGACAGAGAGCTTCCTAATGCCAAACTCTGGAATTAAATAGGTTTACTAACTCTGTAGCCCTGGACCAGGCACCCTCAACCCCACCCCAAGGCCCTGCTCCTGGAGGAGAGAAGAACACCAGGACAGCTGTGTGAAGGCAGCTTCCTTTGGGTACACATTCTTTTTTTCTAAATTCACCAATCAGGGAGGAGTGAGCTGGAGGCAGGCGCAGCGGGAGGCCACGAATATTAATGGATGTCACTCCATATGGAAGGAGACATCATGAGTGAAGAATAAGTGTTTCCCCAATAAACATATTTATATTTGAACTCATCATCATAGCCCACAAGTCTAGTCATCGCCCTAGGACTGCCACTACTCATAACTTAGATCAGAAACCTTTGGACAGCCGGGAGACTGTTTTCTTTGCATCTTGCTGAATGTTTCCACCATCCACCCCAGCAGCATCCACATCATAAATGTGGCCTACACATTTATCCCCCTCAGCGCTGCCCATTCTACAACCTTAACCATGCTCACATCTACCCCTTCCGGTTGCCAATGATTATCATCGCCAATGATTTGGTTCTGCTCCTTGCTTCTTATCTGGAGTACAGCAATGGCCTCAAAACTAATCTCCCTGCCCCAAGCCTTATTCTTCCTGTCCATTTTCACTTTCACGCCTTCACGCGGGAAGCTTCTTTTGCCTGGAATTATGTCCTCCCCGGTTACTCTCTCCAAACCCCCCACTGGAATCTGACTGGAAGGCCGTTTTTTTTTTTTTTTTTTTTTTTTTTTTTTTTTTAATCCTCACAGGAGGGTATTTTCTCCACTGATTTTCTGAGAGAGAGAGAGGAAGGAAGGGGGATGTGAGAGAGATTCATCAGTTGGCTGCCTGCCCCCACCCAGGCCAGGGGTGGAGCCTGCAACCCAGGGACATGCCCTTGACCAGACTCCAACCCACGACCCTTCAGCCCGCGGGCCTGCGCTCCACCGAGCCAAACCGGCGAGGGCCCCAAGTCCATTCTTGACTGCTTTTGTTTGACTGCCTTCTCTTACGGTAAAGCTTTACAGAGCACCTTTCCTTCAGCCTCACCACTCTCTGATGCAGACTGGTTGGGCACGGTTATCCGTCCCTACTGATAGGATGAGGAAACCGAGAGTCAGGGGAATTCAAGGCTGGGCCCACTGCCGCCTCCTCCGAGTCAGCGACGGTCCCTCGCCGCCTTCCACCTTCAGCGCGCAGTCAGCCTGGTTGGCTTTCCCCCCTTGAGAACCATCCGCCCTTCGCAGAAGTCGCCTATGGCTCCCGCGCCCGTCTGCACGAGGCCACTGCTCTCTGCACCATAGGCGCTCCGTAGACTCGCGGGCCGCGATCAAGCCGGGGACCTTCCCATCCGCAGTGATGAGCTCGGTGACGCCACACAGTGACGTATGGTGACGTCACTTACTCGGAGCCAGGTGCCGAAAGGCAGCCACACCCTGGGCCCCAGCTCCGAAGGGCAAAGGGTCGGGCGGGTGCGGAAAACCAGCACAACCCGCCTGAGGCGACCTCCGGGCCCGAAACACTGGGACCCCGCCCGCCGGCCGCCCAGCGGTTGCTAAGTGACGCCAGCGCGCCGAAGCGCGTGCGCGGCCACGGCGGTGTGCGTGAGAGCGGACGCGCGCCGCGGCGGCGGCGGCGGCGAGGACGGCGGCGACGGCAGGGGCCCAGGGGGCGGTGGCTTCGAGGGGGCTGCGGAGCCGGCGGAAGTGGCCTCTAAGCCGGCGGCTGGGTCGCAGAACTTGGTCGGGGTGAGTAGCCCGGGCCTCGCAGGGGAGGTGGGGCCTGGCCGCACCTGCTGCGCGGGCCGGGGCGCGGGGACGCACGCCCCCACCGCACCTGCGCGCGCCGCTCCACGCCCCTCCGCCGCTTCCTCCGCGGACGGGGGCTGACGAGGGTCAGTTTCGGGACGCGGGCGCTCTGGGAAGCGGCTGCGTGGGGCCGGCGGAGACTGTTGTTCTGAAAGGTTTAGTGAGAAGTAGGTGTCTGGGGGCGTCGGGGTGGCTCCGCCAGGCTCCCGGAATGAGTCAAGCCCGGAGGAGCCCGGGCTCCCAGAACGGCGCCTCATCCTCCCAGAGACGAGGCTGCCGAGACGAGAGGAGGCGGCACCACCAGGGACGCCGGGGTTGGGGTTCGGAAAGTTGGGCGCTGCCGGGGCCTTCGGCGCCGCTGCCCTGGGACGAGGAGCCGGTCGTTAAGTACCGAATTGTGAATCAGTGCCTGCGCGCGGCGTCGGACACACCCACGGCCGGGGGAAGGCGAGCTGTCAGAGGAGATAGGGGGCCAGCCCGCTCCCCAGAGCTCCCGACTTCACATGTATGTGCACGTTAGGCGTCATTCGCACCTAACGCTTGGTTCTGGGCATTCTTATCACGTGGTTGGGACAGATTTGTGGCCAAGGGGGCGGGAGTCTGCGTTCAGTCCTTCCTGGGAGACTCACATCAGCTGTTTTCTTTTCCCAGAAGGGAGACACTGCTTTTCGTTTTTCTCAAACGCAGGACAGACTTGCCGTTTACTAAGTACAAAGTACAGATCCTGTCCGGCGTGCGGGTTGGGGAAAGCTGGTGGCCAGACGGGCCCGAGGGAGAGGGTGCGCTGGGCTTCTCCTGGGTACCCGTGTGCCGGCTGCCGTTACCGTCCCTGGGAGGAAGCATCGGAGGGCGAGATGCCTGGAATCTGTAGCAAGATGAACTGTTCTGAAGTTTAATCGTGATCCGTGCAAGAAAGTTACTTCTCAGTTACCCCTCGGCTGTAAAATTCTGTGATTCAGTTTCGTAACGGAGGATCTGTAAAGTATGCTGCCTGAAGTTCTTACATCAGGGAGCCAGTAGAAAACCCTGCCCTGTAATACTTCGAGTGCTCGAACTTCAGTGTCTCTTCCTCTCCGGAGTGCAATAGCGTTTTAGCACAGGAAGCACGTGTGGTTTCCATCATGGCTGTATGTCTTCAGTACTTACAAAAGCGCTTGCCACAGAATAGGCAAGCCGTAGATATTTGTTAGATATCACGCCGTGTCAGTGGTGTATAGCAAGCATTTCGTTCAGCCCTTCAAGTAGTAATACACGTGTCCCTCTCCCCAGTATTATGGGACATGTGGGAAGAGGATTGTTGGGATTTCATATATATATATATATATATATATATATATATATATATATTTCTTTATTGATTAAGTTATTACATATGTGTCTTTATCCCCACATTACCCCCCTATCCCCCCCACTCATGCCTAATATATATTTTTTATTGATTTTTTAGAGAGAAAGGGAGAGGGAGAGAGAGAGAGATAGAAACATCAGTTATGAGAGAAAATAATTGATCGGCTGCCTCCTGCACACCCCCCATTGGGGTTGAGCCTGAAACCCAGGCATGTGCCCTTGACGGGAATTGAACTCATGACCTTTCAGTCCACAGGCTGGCGCTCTACCCCCTGAGCCAAACCAGCCAGGGCGATTGTTGTGATTTCAAATGACATAGAAGACCTGGCTTTTTTTCCCCTTGAAGAGCAAATAGCGTGGTTAGGAAAATAAAGCATATGTATAAAGATAATCATGAAACCAAATGGGGTAGTATGCGAACAAGTGCTATGTGAGCTGCTGCACTTTACTAGTAAGTGCACTAGAAATTTAGAAAAGATGACAGACTGTGGTGTGCTGAGTTAATGAACATTTTGGAAGAGGTAAGATTTGAGCTGGTCTTTGAAAGAAGAGTAAACTTTGAATTAGAGAAGAGATAAGAAATCAGATGTTGAGAAAATAGTGTGAATTTGGCTGTTGGGGGGATATATTGAGGAGACACTTGTCGGATGAGTGGAGCAGAAGGTCTCTGATAGGGGAATGTTGGAGGTAGAAGGTTTAGCAGATTGGGAGGGGAAAGTGTTTAGGCTCAGGCAGGCTTTATCAGCATCCCACTGATAACAAGGTGAAGTCCTCTTGCTGGGTGGGATGGACGTTGAGCTACTCAAGTAGAGTCTTAACACGTTGAAGGGATATTACAGTTGACAACAGGTTGTTGTGCACTTCTGATTTCTATTACTTACTCGAATAAATGCCTCACTAATGTGCATGTATCTTATGTGTTTAGTTAGCAGTGCATGTCCCCATTTCTAAAATCTACCTGATGTGCTAGGTCAGTGGTCGGCAAACTCATTAGTCAACAGAGCCAAATATCAACAGGACAACGATTGAAATTTCTTTTGAGAGCCAAATTTTTTAAACTTAAACTATATAGGTAGGTACATTGTTATTAACTTAATTAGGGTACTCCTAAGCTGGCCTTTGCTAAAAACGTCCTCAATCTGATTGAGGTACGTTCGCTGAGGTCGACCCCTTCCAACTCTCCCATCCACACTCGTCTTGTGTACTTGTTTCGTCTGGCTCCTTTCGTTCATCCTCTCTATATGTCCAAACCATCTCAACATACCTTTCTCAATCCTCGACACTACATCTTCTTTGACTCCACATCGTTCCCTGAAATTAACTTAATAAACTTTACTTAAAGTTTTAAGTCAACTTCGCACACAGTATTTTGTGGAAGAGCCACACTCAAGGGGCCAAAAGCCGTATGTGGCTCGCGAGCCGCGGTTTGCCGATTACTGTGCTAGGTCCATTCCATTGGAAATTTATTGAAATGGTGTACTCAAAGCAGTTATTTCGCCATTCTCATTCTCAGTGATACAATTTTGAGTGGGATTCTCTCTCATAGTGTCCTGTGAGGTTATCAGTTACTGCTGATCCTGTAAAAACAAAAACAAAAACAAAAACAAAAACAATAATCTTAGCTGTGGAATCGACCACTGAATGCATGGGTGGGTGAAACAACAAATTGATGTTTTGTTTTCTCTTTCATCAATAAAAATTAATAAAAATATTGACAAAAAGATTTGAGCAAATTAAATATGCTGCTGTTAAATATTGAATTGTTGGTCTTTACGGTATCTTTTGTTGTGGTTATGTTAAAATTCTTTTGAATGGTGTAAACCTGAAGTTGAATTGCTAACCGAAGATGTATAAAGTTGCAACACTAAATGTTGCATTATTTAACAACTCAGCAAATATTTATTGGGTGCCGGCTGTGGCTAAGCACTATGTTGGGTGCTGCAAAGACAAAGAATGAGACACAGTGTATTCCTGAGATACTAAGCATTTGTCTGAGGAGGCAAACCACTAACCATGTTATGTTATGATAAGAGTTAATTACTTTTGGAATGAATAAAATGCAGAGGGAGTAGGTTACTTTGGCTAGGAAAAAATTGATAGAGTCAGGAAAGCTTTAAAGATAAGAGGAATGAACTTGGTCCCGAAGGTTGAGTACAATTTTGCCACAAGTAAAAGGGAAAATAAGCATTCCAGGCAGAGGGGACAGCATAAGCCAGTTGCCAAAGATTAAAATTGAATAGGGTTTTGGAAAATCTTGAGTTGTTTCTTGTAGGCTTGTTATATGGCAGGAGTGTTGAGACAGGAAAGGTATGGTTGGGACCCACTTATGAAGGGGTCTGCCATTCCATTCATTTTTTAAAGTTGAATTTATTGGTGTGACATTGATTAATAATATTAAATAGGTTTTAGGTGTACAATTTCTATAATATGTCATCTATATATTGCATTGTTGTGTTTACCACCCCAAGTCTGGTCTCCTTCCAATACCGTTTATCCCCCCTTTGCCCTCTTCTACCTCCTCCTCCCCCTTACATTCCCCCCTGGTAATCACTACACTGTTATCTGTGTCTATGATTTTTTTTTTTTTTTTGCTTAGTCCCTTCACCTTTCTCACCCAGTCCCCCCATCCACTGCACTCTGACAGCTGTGAGTCTGTCCTCTGTATCTGTGAGTCTGTTTCTATTTTGTTTGTTAAATTCTACATATAAGTGAAATCATATGGTATTTGTCTTTCTCTGACTGGCTTATTTCACTTAGCATAATGCTCTCCAGGTCCATCCATGCTATCACAAAAGGTCAGATTTCCTTCTTTTTATGGCTGAGTAGTATTCCATTGTGTAATGTACTACAGCTTTTTTATCCACTCATCTGGTGATGGGCACTTGGGTTGTTTCCAAATCTTGCCTATTGTAAATAATGCTGAAATGAACAGCATTTATTAGGGTGGAAATATTCTTTTGAATTAGTATTTCAGGTTTCTTCAGATATACTCC